CTGCGAGCTTCCCTGAAGCCCCGTGCTTCCCTGAAGCCCCGTGCTGACCGAACCTGACAGTGCTGAGGACAATCACTGCATTCAAGAACATTTTATGTTTTTGCCTCCCAAAGAAACAGTGATTTTCATAAGAGAACTGCCCTAGCAGTTTGCACGTGAAGGTAAGCCATCAAGGCATGGTGATGCAACGAGTAGTTTGTTCTTCAGCCAGCTTGTTGCAAAACCTGATGCTATTTCCCAATGGTCTACAGCTTCTAATCTGGCACACTAAACCTGGGCCTTATTTGGAAGTACCCGAGTCACCATAATAGCAGTGATCCACTTTCTAGTATGCCCCCCCACCCCCTTTTGGCACCTGGGGGCACCCTGCTCAACTCTCATGAACCATCTGGCAGCTGGTTGAAGAAGTCTCACTTGCCATTTGCAAGGTGTGAAACAAAAAAGCAGTTGGCCTAAATGACATCCCAGCTGAAATATGGAACCTATTTGAGTCACAGGGAGCAAAATGGCTTACAAGAGTGTTCAACAAAATTGTAGAAGAAAATGAACTTGCCACAACAATACAACACTCCCAATCTAGAAAGGCAAAAGCGATGTACGTCACTGCTCAAACTACAGATCTGATCTGGCTATTTCTGACAATTTCTGAATGCATACTAGATTCTTTTGATACATCACCAACCTTTCACCAAACCACTGCAATTTCATGAAGAACTGTGCAACAACTGACACAATACATGCCACCTGCCTATTGATGGAGAAGCACCATGAGAAATGAACAACCATACATATGCCACTCACTGACCTAGAAAAAGCATTTGATCAAGGACCACATGAGCTCATCTGTCTATCACTTAAATTATACAATGTTTCTGCTGGGTTAAACTACTGTACCCCAATGTTATCAGCTCAGTAAGAAGTGCTGCTGGATGCTCAAGCATCTTTCCCATCCACAAAGGGACCAAACTCTCACCATTGCTCTTTATTCTCTGTATGGACAGTGTAAACAAAAACCTACAATCACAACACCTGTGGATGCTATTATATGCTGAGGATATCGTGATAGACAGTCTCAAACAGCCTCAAGCTTGAAGCAGCCTCGAACAATTAGGGCAAAGGTAGAAGATGTGTCTTAATGGTTTAGGAATAAGGGTCAATATTAAGAGTGTATAACTTGAATGTGCTGACCAGACCAATGGGACACTCAAGGCCGATGGTATCAAATCAAGCAACGTGACCCAGTTCAAATACCTGTGGTCATACCTGACGATTGATTGTGACACACTACTGGACTACCATGCCTTGTGACTGTAGAGACACTGCAGACCACGTGAAATGGTGAGCACAGTGCAAAGTAACTTCAAATTAATAAAAGTTGTTTCCAAAAATCATTCTGGGTCTTTTTCTGAAAAGATTACAGAGGAGGACTCTTTTTCCATATTGCAAAATACTTTACATTTTTACTTACAATCAAGGCTATGAAAGTATCTGTGACAAATGAATCCACTGATTTCTGCCTCCCCCCGCAAAGAACCATCCATGTCTAAAGAGAGCAGAGGTACAATATAGCTCTTATTCAGAAGCAACCTGAATTTAGTATGGGGTAAATTCAGAATGGGAGCTGAATGAAAAGAAAAAGAAATCCAAGATGAAGGAACACAAGAAACCCATACCTTCTCCATCTGAAGAAGATAGTGATCAATGAAATCTTGTGGCTCATGCAGAGAGTGGAATTCCTTGTGTTTCTCTATTTCCTGCTTTGCAAAGGAAAGGATCAACTCCGTAGAAGCCATGGCCTCCTTGTGAGGCCCTGGGGGGCAATCCATTAACCTTGGGAACAAATTATACACCTAATAGAAAAGGAAGAGGAAAAGTTATTTATTTCCCACCACTATAGGAGACTCTCAGCAGCTCAGAGTAACAGACAACACTTAATAATCAAACACAAATATTACAAACACATTAAAACTTGGCAAACAATACATGGTGTCAGACCCCAAAAGCCATGAGAAAAGTTTCAAACTTGTAGAAATTTCCAACAAGCTATTATAAAATTCTCTTATTGTCTACTGGAGCATTTGTAAATATGCTCAGCTATGGCTAACTTAGCTGGGTTTAATACATTTGTCCAACTAGATTCACATGCCAGACTAAATGATACATTAATTACATGGGTGGGATTTTCAGAGTCTGCTACTCTGTGGTCTAGAATGCTTGAGGTAGCATGTCAGGATAATCTTTGGGATCAAAAATCAGTATCCCTAATCAAAGAGATTCAGATGCTGCCAACCCTGTTAGGGTTTCACAAGTCATGGAAGATCTGACTGTTTCCAAAAATATTTAGGTCAGGCAGGTAGATGAACTCTGTTATTATTGATGGCAAGTGAGGTCATTGTTTATCCTTGGGTGCTGGGGGTTATGTTTGGTGAGTTTATGTGTTTCAATCTTGTAAGCCACCCAAGGCCACTTGTGTGAGATGGGGGGTTATATAAATCAGAGAGAGAGAGAGAGATGATAGATTCATTTCAGAGTTGTACTGATCCCCTGCTCCTGCTCCAGGTATGATCAGACAGATGGCAGGTTCAAACTCTTGGCCAGCTAAATAAAAGCACAATTCTCTATTTCACACTATAATCCAAGCGGGCTTTTCTTTACCCTTCCCATCCTTCCACCACTGTTGAATGCTACAATCATTGCTGGGGATGAAGCCTTTCTCAGGCAGCTCAGCGTTTCCTCTATGAGGTGCTTTGCACAGCACAACATGTGATTCTCCTCAACAAGGAGAACAGGTGATATTATTGACCTCTGTGAGGTGCTTTGTATTTTAGAATCCAGAAAAAAGATCTACCTTTGGGGGCAATTTGGCAAGGCTGTCACTGTGCTATCCCTGCACTAGACTTCATCAAGAGGGTAAGGCTGATTTATGGGCTCAAGCTGCTGGAAGGTATTAAGCTGACTGAAAGAGTCACAGTATGGATTCATGGAGAAGATGACTATTTAGTCCTACTGCAAGATACTATGTTGCATGATAGTCCCAATACAGACCCACCCAGATTTGTGTAAATGGAAAGGAAAAGCAATGTGTGTATATTGAAATACCTAGCCAAAAATGTGGGCACATCTTGGACCTAGTGTATCTTGACTTCAGCCAGGTCTTTAACGAAGTTTCACATGAGATCCTAATGGAGAAGATGGTGAAATGTGGGTTGGACATTAGTACAGGGCTGACTGAACAATGGTACCCAATGAGGACATGTTACTTGCTCTGCTTCAGGCTGGAAGGAGGTGACGAGAGCATATCACAGGGCTGCATTCTAGGCCCAGAATTATTCTCCCTCTCTTTCTGACTTGAAGAAAAGGTAGGAAATATGATTATCAAATCTGCAGATGACACAAATATGGGAAGGGGCTAAGAAAACACCTCAGAAGACAGTATTCAGGAGAATCTTGACAGGAACACATGAAATATCTTAAGTACAGGTAGGGAAAATCAAAGGTATAATTTGAATATAAATTCAAATTAATATATGCTGCCCATCTCACTCTACAAGTGAGTCTAGGTGGCATTACAAGTAAAAATTATAAAATGTTAGAAAAATATACAAGTTAAAAACCAGAAAAGTTAAAATAAAAATTAAAAAGTTAAAACTACAAACTAAAAAAGTGGAGACAGCATCCTCACGGTACCAACCACTGTGCTATGAACCCCTGTTGGGTCCCCATGCAAGTTGGCAGAACCAGGTCTTGATGCTATTTCAGAAGTCCAACACAGTGGAGGCCAACTTCACATCAGGGGTCAAGATGTTCCAGAAGGCAGGGGCCATGGCAGAAAAGGTTCTCCTCCTGGATCCCTTCAGTCAGAATTCTTTAGGTGACAGAGTCCATAACATTCCTGCTGGACCAGGAGTCGATGTGATGGGGAACAGATGGCTCCTGAGGTAACCTGGGCCTATGCCATGAAGGGCTTTAAAGGTAATAACCAACACCTTGAATTGGACCTGGAAGCAGACTGGCACCCAATGCAGCTTGTGCAGCAGAGGTGTTACATGTGCAGTCCTAGAGGTGCCCGTAATTGCCTGTGCTGCTGCATTCTGCACCAGCTGCAACTTCTGAATACTTTTCCAGAGTAGCCCCATGTAGAGTGCATTGCAATAGTCCATACGGGAGAGGACCAGGGCATAAGTGACTGAGAGAAGGGCCTCTCAATTGAGGAAAGGGCACAACTGGCACAAACATGGAGTTGAGCAAAGGCCCTCCTAGTCACAGCTACCACCTGCTCCTCGAGCAGGAGTTGTGAGTCTAGGAAGACCTCCAGATTGTGCACCACGTCTTTCTGGGGTAGAGCAACCCCATCCAGAACCAAAGATGGTAAGCCCCCAGATACATAAGAGCCCCGAACCCATAGCCACTACATCTTACCAGGGTTCAGTTGAAGCCTGTTTTTCCCCATCGAGACTTCCACAGCCTACAGGCACTGCGAAAGAACATCCACAGCATCACTTAATTCACCTGGGATGGAGATGTATAACTGAGTATCATCAGCATACTGATGATGCCTCCTCCCGTGGGGATGGATGATCTCGTGTAGCAGCTTGATTATCTCATTAACATCTCATTAACCCCATGCACATGTTAAAAAGGAGCAGAGGGAGCACCAAGCCCTGCGGCATCCCACAAAACAAGGGCCATGGGCTGGACCTCTCGCTCCCTACCAACACCAACTGGGACTGGCCTTGGAAGAAAGAGGTGACCAGCACAAAACTCTGCCCCCCATCCCCAACTCCCACAGCCAATCCAAAAGGATACCATGGCTGATGGTACTGAAAGCTGCTGAGAGGTCAAGAAGAGTCAGGCTGTATGCGCTACCCCCATCCCTGTGCCACCAGAGAACATCTCAAAGTGTGACCAATGCCTTGTCTGTCCCTTATCCGGGTCTGAATCCCAACAGGAAAGGGTCCAGATATTCCGTTTCATTCAGGTTCCTCTGGAGATGTAGTGCCGCTACCTCCTCTACTACCTTGTCCAAGAAGGGGAGGTGAGAGACTGGATGAAAATTGTCCAGAACAGTGGAGTCAAGTGACGGCTTCTTCAGGAGAGGGCGAATCAGCACCTCTATAAAAGGAGCTGGGAATGTCCCTCTCTCAAGGATGAATTAACCATTGCTCGAACCCACCCACACATCACCTCCTGGGTGACCTTGACCAACCAGGAGGAGCATCTAACTAAAACACAGGTGGCAGCCCTTACAGACCCGAGGACCCCATCCACTTCCACAGGCCCAACAGGATCAAACCATTCCCAGATAACTGGACAAGTCTGCTCCCCAGACATCTCCAAAGGACCTGCACCACACTTGGCCTCCAACTGGGAATGAATCCAAGTGATTTTATCATCCAGATGTTTGGCAAATTATTCTCTGTGGCCCTAAAGGTAAACTTACGAGCCCCCCCCTTACCCAGGAGGGTCCAGGTAACCTTAAATAGGGCCACCAGGTAGCACTCTGTGGACACAATAAGAGTGGAGAAATAATGGAACTTCACCGCTCTTATCACCACAAGGTAATGATGATACCTTAATAGTGGCTGCAACTCATGTCCGGTTGGCTTCATCTGTCATCTTCCTTTTCACAATACATCTCAAAGAGATCTAGCTGTCTTGTTGGATCACTAGCTGACCATAAATCAACAATGTGATGCAGCTGCTGGAAAAGGAAATGTAGTCCTAGGGTAGATCAGCAGAAGTCTACCATCAAGATCAAGAGAAATCATTGTTCCTCTTTATTCCCCATTAATCAGACCCCACTAGAATATTGCATCTAGTTCTCTCCACTGTCCTTTAGGAACAAGATTTATAAACTGAAGTGTATTTGGGGGAGAGCATCTGAGATGAGAAGGGACTTGGAAGGAAAAACTTAAAAGGAACCATTGGAAGCAGTAGCTATGTTTAGCCTGGAGAAAAGAAGACTGCAAGGGGACATGATCGCTGCCCTCAAGTATTTGAAAGAGTGTCTTGTAGAAGAGAGGCAGGATGGTTCAGAGTTGTTCCAGAAGATGGGGCAAAAACAATGGGTTTAAATTATAAGAAAACAGATTTTGGTTGGGTATCAGGAAAAAATGGTAAGAACTGTTCAGTGATGGAGTGACCCAGGAAGTGGTGGATCATCTTTGGCTAGAAGTGTGTAAACATGGGGGATTGATGGCCATCTGCTGGTGATACTGAAATGATGGATTCTTGCACTGGGGAGAGCCACTTTGGTGTAATGGTTAAGGCACTAGCCTAGAAACTGGGAGACTAAGAGTTTTAGTCCTGACTCAGGCATTAAGTCAAATGGGTGACGTTGAGCCAATCCCTCTCTCTCAGCCCTAGGAAGAGGGAACTTCCAAGACATCTTGCCAAGAAAACTGCAGAGACTTCCCAAGGCAGTCCCCAGGAGTCAAGATTAACTTGAAGGCACACACACATAATGGGAAGAGGAATACCCTAGATGATTTCCAACCTTCCTCCATTCCTTACATTCTATCATTCCATGAAAATACTGGTGGAAACATAGGTTTTTGAGGAGCTTTGTCTCTATAGTAGAAAACATGACTCACCATATGGAAAAAGTCACCAGTGAATTTCACATCAATTTTCAGGGCTTGAATTAGCTTCTGGAAATTTTCATCTTCAGGAGCAAACTGATGTCCAAAACTCAAAGCACATATGACATTAGAAACTGAATTTAGTACTGCAAATGAAGGGTCAAATGGCTCTCCTGGAAATGAAGATATTTTGTAATTAATTCAGCGTCTCCTGTTCACCTGTTAATAGTAAAGAACAGGACTTCTAAGGAGATGAGGGAAGAGAATTGGGAACTCTGTCAATTTTTTAAAAATTAAAACTCCAATCTGTTTTTATTTGAAATACTCAGCATGGAAAAGACTTCTGCAGACAGGGACTTGAGCCACTGTCATTACCCCAAATTTCATACCTTTTGTTTGTGTGAAGACCTCTACCAGCTTCCGAGCTCCTTCTTCTATCTGGTGCTCAATGCTTTTTTTCCCCAGGCCCAGCTTCCGCAAAGCAGTGATGCCGATGTGTCGCTGCTGTTTCCAGGTGGGGCCATTTGAAAGAACAATTCCTGAGGGCATCAGCAGATAGTGATAAATTATTTCTGATAGCATTCATATTAAAATACAATTAGGTCTATTTCTTGCTGAAAAATCTCTCTGGATTTCAGGTGGGAATACCAAACCCTTGGGACACATTGCAAGATTCTGGCCATGTTATTATTATTATTTCTTTAATTATGCATTTTTGGAGTCACATGGACACTGGGAGAAATATGTGGTATAGTGTACAAAGGTGCAGTCCTTGCCAACCTCTAACTTGTATGATGGACCTCAAAAGCTTCTGAGACAGTGTAACTGTTCATGTATGAGAACATATGTCACAGGCATCATACACCTTTTATATTTTTCATTGTCTTGTGTGGCAGAATGACCTATACTCTTGTTGACCTGCCCAGAGCAGCCCAAGGTCCTACTTGCAGTGCTGCCACTAAGATCCTTTTGGTTGGCAGGCACAAGAGGCAGGATCTTCTCAGTGGAGGCAGATTCCCTGAGCGACTCCCTCCCACAAGATTGAAATGAACCAGCAAAATAGGCAAATGGCTTTTTTACTCACCAAGTTTAATCAAGTTACTATTGTATTTTTTTGTCAATGATTAAATAGATATTTTAAATTGGTTTTATTGGCCTGAGTGCAAATTGCTTTGCAGGTGAGCCAGCAATAAGTGAACAAACAATGAAATAAAGTTATAAGAAAAGCTTGGTTAAAACTAACCAAGCTTAGTATATTGTAAGCCAGATGTGACAGCCTTTACCTGATCTATTTAAACATGTGGTATAAAAAACAATCAATAGTTTATAAAAAAAATCAAGTTTCAAATTTGGGAGCTGGAGAACAATAGTCTCTCAAAGAGAAGTACAAGACGAAAGAGTACAAAACAATTAAAGAAATTAAGTAACAACAAGAAAGGGATATCAGTTTTATTATGTATGAACAAATTAAGGAAATGTCTAAACAAGTGTATGACATTGTTGGTAGTCCTAGTGAAATTGATAAATGTTCAGAATCTTTATATTAAAAACTAGACTCAAAACCATCTTGTGGATATTAGACCACGTATGGCTGATCTTCAGGATGAAACCTTTGAATGCAAGAGTCAGAGGAAACAATGCAAAACTGAGATTGTTAGCTTCATTGCTAAATGGCAGAATGATTATTTCCTAGGCTTCATTAAGTCAAAAGGAGATCACTCATAGAGTTTATAAAGTTATGCAAACAATGTAGCAAAACCCAGAATATATATATTAAGTTTGTTAATGCCCATATGAGTGGCAATATTGTTTGAAAAGCTCATGAGCTGGAAGAGATAAATCAGGAAGATATAGCAGTGCAGTTTTATCAAGATATTAGTAAGTTATATTATTTTAAAAAGGAGCAGTTTCTAATCCCTAATAAAGCAATTGCTTAAATTTGGAATTCACTACAAATTTGGATTCCTCTTAGATTAATCATGTATCAGAAGATGTAGAAGAAATTTCAGCTCTTCAGGAAATGCAAATCGTCTTCCTCGGACTTAAGACACGAGTCTTCCTAGAATGGGCTGTAGCTGCAAGGTGAAAAGAGGAACAAGCCAACCAAACAACCAAGAGCAGGAATAAAAATAACTTGAATTTATGTAAGTATAATATGGGAAATACTAACTATTTGTGTCTTCGGCTACAGAGGAACTATGAATTGGAGTAAGAATAAATAGAATCTGACAACTGAGTTAGAACTATGTTCTTCCATTCTCTTTAACAAGATTTGTTAAGAAGCAAAGGATAGTGGTATAAGAATTCTAGCAAGGGAATTGATTTTCATTTTAGAACCAATATATCTCAGTATACGTTAGGAGGGTTTCCAAACCTTTTCATGGCTTGATGGTGCATTGGCGTGGAGGAGGCTCTCTTTTCCAACAACATTAAAGTCTGTGGCTAGTTACTTACCTTACAGTCATGTGACATTTAGCTACCTAAGAAACAATCTAACATCAGCTGGTAAAAGAAGGATAGGTGAGAAGCAGAGGAGGTGAAACGGCTTTGTAGTAATGAAGGAGGAAGAGGAAAAAACATTAAAACATTAGCATACCAGTGTCAGATTCAGCCGGCACGGCACGGCGAAGGCACCGCTCAGCTTCACCTAACTCAATTTCACAGCCGAGGCGCAAGCAGAGAAAAAGGGGAAGTGAAACCGTGAGCTTTCAGACAGGTGGCAACGCTTAATGCTTAACTCAAAACCGCAAGCGGATACTTTGTATCAGCCCGGCTTCCCTCGGGCGCTGCAAATGAAGGAAAGTGCAGAGGCTCGGAAGCGAAGCAATCAAAGAGCGACTGAGAACTCCCGGCTTTGTGCGCAAACAGGCAAACCCAACAAAGGCAACAACAGCACAACCCATAGACTGCAATCAGAAAGACAAAAGCACCGGACTGAATCTGCCATTTGGAGGATGGGGGGATTACTGCGGGTAATCTGTAACTAAGCAACAGGGAAGCGTGGGAACGGGGAAGCTATAAAATACCATGTAAGCTATGCCAAGCCAACCCTGGCTT